GTTCAATATACGTAAGTCAATAAATGTCATAAATCACATAAGTGGGCTCAATGACAAGAACCACATGGTCATCTCAATAGATGCAGAGAAGGCCTTTGACAAAATTCAACATGCTTTTATGTTTAAAGTTCTAGAGAGAATTGGACTGAAGGGAACATACCTCAACATAATTAAAGCCATATATAACAAACCCACAGCCAACATCATTCTAAATGGAGAAAAACTGGAAGTATTCCCATTGAAATGAGGAACCAGACAAGGCTGCCCGCTATCCCCACTTCTCTTTAACATAGTACTTGAAACTCTTGCATGAACAATAAGACAAGAGAAGGAAATTAAAGGAGTAATAATTGGAAAAGATCAAATTATCACTTTTTGCAGATAACTCCTAGAAATTATTAACACGTTCAGTAAAGTGGCACGTTCAGTAAAATTTGCAGATAACTCCTAGAAATTATTAACAGGTTCAGTAAAGTGGCAGGTTACAAAATTATCCTACAAAAGTCTGTAGCCTTTCTATATACCAATAACAAGTATTCAGAGAAAGAGCACATGGAAACACTCCCCTTCACAATAGCTGTAAAAAAAATAAAATGCTGCAAAAAAAAAATATCTTGGAATAAATCTGACTAAAGACACCAAAGATCTCTACAATGAAAATTTTAAATAGTTAAAGAGATTGAGGAAGACACCAGGAGATGGAAGGACCTCTCATGTTCATGGATTGGAAGAATTAATATTGTTAAAATGACCATCCTATCAAAAGCAATATATAGATTCAATGCAATCCCAATCAAAATTCATGTGACATACTTCACAGAATTAGAAAAATGCATCCTTAGATTCACATGGAAGCACAAAAGACCTCGGATAGCCAAAGCAACCCTGAGCACTAAGAGCAATGCTGGGGGCATTACAATACCAGATTTCAAGCTGTATTACAGAGTTATAGTCATAAAAACAACATGGTACGGGCACAAAAATAGACCCACAACCAATGGAACAAAATTGGAGACCCAAATATGAGTAAATGGTGCTGGCAAAACTGGATCTCCACTTGTAGAAGAATGAAACTAAACCCCTATCTTTCACACTGCACAAAAGTCAATTCCAAATGGCTCAAAGACTTCAATGTAAAGCCTGAAACTCTGAAACTATTAGAAGAAAACATTGGGGAAAACCTACAAGATATAGGCATAGGAAAGGATTTTCTAAATCGGACCTCAATTGCTCAGGAAACAAGGGCAAGAATTAACGAATGGGGCCTCATTAAACTAAAAAACTTCGGTACATCAAAGGAGATAACCAAGGAAGCAAATAGAAAACCCACAGAATGGGAGAAAATCTTCACCAGCGACACATCGACAGAGGTTTAATAACCAGAATATATAACGAACTCCAAAAACAGAGAACCAAGACAAGAAGCAACCCAATTAAAAGACGGGCTAAGGAGCTGAACAGAGAGTTCTCAAAAGAAGAAGTAAAGATGGCTATGAAACATCTTAAAAGACGTTCAACATTACTAATAATTAGGAAAATGCAAATTAAGATTTCACCTTACCCCAGTCAGACTGGCTAAGATCAAGAAAACAAATGATACCAAATGTTGGAGAGGATGTGGGGAAAGGGGAACACTCATCCACTGCTGGTGGGGCTGCAAACTGGTTCAACCCCTATGGAAAGCAATGTGGTTAACTCTTTAAAAAAAAAATGAGCCGGGCATGGTGGTGCACACCTTTAATCCCAGCACTTGGGAGGCAGAGGCAGGCGGATCGTTGTGAGTTCAAGGCCAGCCTGGTCTACATAGTGAGTTCAGGTCAGCTGGGACTGCAGGGAGACCCTGTCTCAAAAAGACAAAAAAACAAAAAAACAAAAAAACAAAAAACAAAAAACAAAACAAAAAAAACCCTATAAATGAACCTACCATTTGACCCAGTTATATCACTTCTTGGCACATACCCAAAGAACTCGTCCTATTGCAGAGACACTTGTACATCCATGTTTGTTGCTGCTTTCTTCACAATAGCTAAGAAATGGAAGCAAATTAAGTGTACCTCATCTGATGAATGAATAATGAAAATGTGGTACATCTACAGAGTGGAGTTTGACTCAACAGTAAGAAAAGATGAAATTATGAAGTTTTTAGGTAAGTGGATGGAACTGGAGAGTGTTATACTAAGTAACACAAAAGCAGAAAAGCAAGTGACATGTGTTCTTCCTCTTTTGCAGATTGTAGTACCAATCCCTTATATGTGAATATATATCCTGATGTAACCCCAGGAGCCAGGAAAATGGGAATAATACATGGAGGTAAAGGAAAAGAAACAATCAAAAGAGGAGGATAGTAGGGAAGAGATGTTCCCAAGGAAAGGTGGGGAAAGTGGCAGTGTTTGGCTGGGAAGGGAGGAGGGAGGGACATGCAGGGGGCCACAGGGGGGAGGGAAATAAGGAGAGGGAGGATGGTGGGAGGCAGGTGTTATTGGGGGAGGGTGGGGATAATGGAGGTGCTGGAGCTTGTGAGGGAGTAGGGAGTTCAAACAGGAGGCAGAAAGAGTAGCAG